TCACACTTCTCTGAAGTCTCTCAGCCCCACTCACCTCACAGAGTGTTTGTTGTGGGGAGGAAGGGAAAGGAGAATGTGAGCCGCTTTGAGACTCCTTAGGGTAGTGATAAAGCGGGATATCAAATCCAAACTCTTCTTCTGTCTGTCCTCAACAACAACCCCCCTCCCAGGAGGGCAGGTGAAGGTTCAGACTGTGTTTCGAACACAGAACCGCCTCCTGGCTTCCTCCTCCCAGAAGCAAACAGACTTTCCCCGACTGCCCAGCAAGGATGCTGAGGAGGTGGAAGGGGGGTGGGACGTGGACCCCTTTCCTGGAACCCGGCTCCTCTGCCCCCCTCACCTCACCTCAGGTCTGCTGGGGTTCCTCTGGGCCTCCTGCGCCTGGGGCTTCTGGGCGGCCTCACGTCGCAGTCGGGCTGAAGTCTTCGCAGAAGTCGTAGGTGCTTGGGGGCTGGAGGAGATGAGCAGCTGCTGGATGTCTCCCTGCGGGGAGGAAGCCAAAGGAAGAGGGGTGAAGAGCCCCGGCACCCGCTGGCCGAAGTAGCAGCGGGAGATGAGCGGAGAAGGCCGCCCACCTCGAAGACCTCCTCGTCCAGGATGCGGGTTCCAAAGACGGTGATGCCGCGCGTGTCGATGGCCGGCCTGGTTGCCGCGGGGCAAAGGGCGGGTCACTTTCTTCTTGCAGTCTAGGATCAAGGTCACCTGCTTCTTGCTGACGCTCAGAGCCACCCGGTGCCACCTGGATAGAGGGGGGGAATCGCAGAGTCACAGAACTGCATAATAATGGAGTAATAATGCCAGTTCCACGTGGATAAGAAGGGCCGATATTCAGCGTGGCGCCACCTACAGTTTGGGACTCCCTCGACTTTATTGAAATGCACCGCTGGCAGAATGGGAGGATGATAAAATAATAAACTTATTATTATTATTCTGGGAAAATCCTCCCTTCAGATGTCAGGAGATAAGTAACAATACACCTTTAGGCGACACCTGAAACTTAGGCAGCCCTGTACAGGGGAGATTTTAATGTTTGGTGTTTTATTATGTTTTTTAAAAAATATTTTTAGTTTTTACCAACCACCAAAACACAAACAGTGAAACCCCCCAGGCAGCTGATACATTGGGTATACAATATTCAATAATATACATATTCAATAACAACATAGTCAAATTAACCATATGTACACTTCTATATACCTTAACACTCCTCCTTCCACAAGGTTTATTTATTTCTCACTGACCTTAAACCTTTTCATTCATTCTATGTATCTTCACAGTTGTCAGAGCTGCCCTAGGTCCCAGCTCACAAAGGACCAACGCCAGTTCGTTGTTATATAAAACAGTCTTTATTGAAGCTCAGTTTCGCTTTCACAGCCGCGGCGCGCAGCTCTATGTCTCAAACTCTAGACCGCCGAAGCTCCGTCTGAGTCTCCTCCCCCCAGACACCAGTTTAAGACTCTAGCCTTGCTCCACCCTCTTCCTTTGCTCTTTCCTCCTCTGGGTCCGCCTGTTCCGCTGGGGTCTTGCCCTTCCTAGACTCTTCTGACGCTGAGTCCCCTGAGTCTTCCCCCTGCCTCCGGCGGGCTTTAGGACCTGGTTCCCAATCCGGGTTTTCTGCTGTCCCGCGCGCCTGTACATTCGAACTTGGCGCGCGCGCCCAGCCGGCCACCTTCCTCCTGACCGTTACACTGCTCCTGTCACTGCTTCCCCCTTCGGCGAGGCTAGCTGGATCTGACCTCCCCTCCGTTCCCCCACTCTCCGATAGAGGCGTGGTCAGCCCTGACTCATCTTCTCTCCCTGCTGGAGGAGACGCTGGCCCTGACACATGGGACTCTTCCCCCCCCCGCTACGCTCTGGTGGGGAAGCTGGTCCTGATCTCCCGCTGCTGCTTTGGGAGTCCCCGCTGGCCCCTTGCTTCTGGTGCGTCCCCCCTGGGACCCCCTTGCCCTGACCATCGGCGCCCCCTTCTGGGAATCTTCTGATTCGCTGGAGAGGCTCATGGAATCTCTCGGGTCACTGTCATTCTCCCCTCCGCTGCCCTCAGATTCTTCCCCTTCGCTCCTCCATTTCCTCTCTCCCCTGTGCCTCTGCTCCTGAGCCCCTGACAACAGTTAAAGGTAAATGTACCCCTGCCCGTACGGGCCAGTCTTGACAGACTCTAGGGTTGTGCACTCATCTCACTCTAGAGGCCGGGAGCCAGCGCTGTCCGGAGACACTTCCGGGTCACGTGGCCAGCGTGACGAAGCCTGCTCTGGCGAGCCTGCACCAGCGCAGCACACGGAAACGCCGTTTACCTTCCCGCTAGTAAACGGTCCCTATTTATCTACTTGCACTTAAGAGTGCTTTCGAACTGCTAGTTGGGCAGGAGCCGGGACTGAACGACGGGAGCTCACCCCGCCACGGGGATTCGAACCACCGACCATACGATCGGCAAGTCCTAGGCGCTGAGGTTTTACCCACAGCGCCACCCGCGCCCCTTTCTTCACAGTTAGGTATTCTAAAATTATAATATTATTCAGTTTTTTCCTCCATTGGTTCACCCCTAGCTCTTCTGCATTCTCCAGTTACTCGCTATAACCTGTCTGGCTGCAGTGACCATCAATTTTACCCGTTTGCATTCCTCTTTTGTTTTTTAACTCAGTACTACTCAGGGTGATAAGAACCATTAGGTGTTTTATTATGTTTTTGTGTGTGCTGGAATCCGCCCAGAGTGGCTGGGGAAACTCAGTCCGATGGGACGGGGTACAAATAATGAAATTATTATTAAATTATGCTGCGGCCATGAGCAGGTCCAACGGACAAGAAGGCGGTTTCTGCACAGGTTGTAGAGGAAAGGAGCCCATCTAGGAGAAGGAAAACTCTGGTCCTAAATCTCCACTGCCTTGCGGGATATTTTCGGGAGAAAACAAGGCTCGGGAGCAAACCCTACACAATTCCAGCGTGGAGTCTCCCATAGCCCGGGTGGGAGATTCACCCTGGGAGTTGTAGTATGGAAACGCACGCCATTGCCTCTCGAGACAGGTGCCAACCACGCATCGTGGAATAAAGTCTGACCGACAGAGAATTAGGCGTGAGCCTCTATACTACAACTCGCAGGGTGAATCTCCCACCCGGGTTATGGTTCGAAGGTGCCGAGTGGGGCCTACAAATTTATTTCACCTTGTATTTCTCAGAATTTACCATATTTTTCGCTCCATAAAATGCACTTTTTTCTTCCTAAAAAGTAAGGGGAAATGTCTGTGCATCTTATGGAGTGAATGTGTGGTCGCTGGAGCCGAATTGCCCAGGGGAGAAAAGCAGATCATGCTTCTTCTTTTTTTGAAAGAGGGAAGTGGGTGTTGAAACAAAGCCGCTGATCATTTGCCGATCGGGGAGAGAGATAAGGGACGCTAGAGATAAAGGAGGCTGCCTGGGAGGGGGGAGGTAAAAGCCCATGGATCCTCAGGATTTTACATTGGGTCACCCCAAATTCACCCCAAATTCACCATCAGATCACATAGCATGTCCATGGCTACAGCCTGAACCAAAAAAATCACGCACCCACTGTTGCGTGGGGCCGCAATGGTGCAAAAATGTGGTTACAAAGCACAGATCCACATGGATCCTCAGGATTTTTGCATTGGGCTACCCCAAACCGTCAGATCACATGTCTGTGGCCACAGCATGCACCACAAAAATCATACATCCACTGTTTCGTTCAGAATATTTTTTTCTTGTTTTCCTGCTCTAAAAACTAGGTGCGTGTTATGGTCAGGTGCGTGTTATGGAGCGAAAAATATGGTATATGCTGCTTGGTGGTAAAGAGAAGATGAAAAAAAATGCTAACAAGAAGAACGGAGCGATGGAGCTATCAGGAAAACACAGCTAAGAATGAACAACTATATTGAACCTTCAAAAAATAATTTGAGTCAACTGATAAACTAAAAACCAGATGAGAACACCTGCCAACATTGGTCTACGTGGAAACACAGGAAGACGCTTCCCAAGGAGTCCCTCTGGATCAGTATTGTCTACACAGACTGGCAGCAGCTCTTTCAGGGAGGGTTGGACTAGATCAGTGTTTCCAAACCTTGGGCCTCCAGCTGTTTTTGGACTACAACTCCCATCATCCCTAGCTAGCAAGACCAGTGGTCAGGGATGATGGGAATTGTAGTTCAAAAACAGCTAGAGGCCCAAGGTTGGGAAACACTGGACTAGATGATCCTTGAGGTTCTTTCCTACGCTACGATTCCCCCCAAACAAAACCGTTCTTAGCAGGGGCCGAAAAGAGTCCAGCGAAGGCACCTGCTCAATGTCGATGGGCAGAGAGTCGCAACATGTGGGTCTCTAAAGATCGGTTTCTTGCAAATGTGTCAGGATATTTCACGAATTAGAAATAAAGAACTCATAACACATCCGATAACCGCGGGGGGCAAGAACGACCATTGCCAGGACACGGAAATCATTGCAGTGATTGACTCCGGACCAGAGGCATAGGGCAATCTGGCAGAAAACATTGCTGGGAAAACTGACACGGAAATTACAGGTTGAGCAAAAGGCCAAAGGTTTGTATAAAGCACAAATCTTAATTATTATTTTTCTTTCCCGCTCCTCTTGCTTTTGTATAAACTCCTGTAGACCATAGTTTGCTGCTGGTGCAGTATATAGATATATTTATTTGTGGCCAACAACCCAGGCAATAGATGTTACTACGCATTATATTTGGTGTTTGTTAAAATTGTGGTGCTTTTCTCATACACACTTTGGCGAATTCTGCTGGTGTATTTAGAGACGATCCTCTGAGTTTTTGTTTCATTTTTGATTTTTATATTCTGTAATTGTCATGCATTGTATGTGTTAATCACAATATCAAAGGATCGTGGAATGACCGAGTTGGAGAGGGCCCCCTAAGGGTCATCCAGCCCAACCCCGGGCCATGCGGGAATCGCACCTGGGATCGTGACAAAGCACAGGCCTTCCCCCTGCAGTGGGGCGATGGAGGGGGCAGAGAAGGAAGCCGGGAGGGGAGGGCACTCACTTGCCGTCGGCCAGGTTGACCCCTCGGAAGATGGGGTAGTCCTCTGGGGCTGGGCGCCCGCTCTGGTCCTCATAGAGGAAGACGGGGGAGCGGCCCAGCTCCACGCCCAGCTGCTGGGTGCCATGCTGGTTGTAGATGGAGAGCAGGAACGCCTGGAGTCCGGATTTGGGCTTCACCAGGGCCATGATGGAGAAATCCTCTGGGAATTTACCTGGGGGGGGGGAGAGAGAGAGAGAGGAGGGTTTAAGGAGGGCTCCGCAACACCCAGCAAACCCCACAAAAGGGATGGTTTTGGAGGCTCCCCACATAATAAGAATGAAATAAAAAAATTAAGGTCTTATATATATAATAAATGTTCATAAATGTACCAAGCAAGCACGTACATAGATATGGGGACCACATGTCTGGAGCAGCCCAGGAAGACCGCCCTGAAACCATTTTTTGACTCCCAAACTGACCAAATGTTTTCTCTGCAAGGAGGGAAGAGGTGAAAAGAAAACCTTCCTTGTTACAGGAATTGAGTATTCACCATTTCAAAGGGTGACAGACTACCAGGAAAGGCAATCAGATCAGGCATTATCAGATAACCTGCCAGACAGGCGATAAACAACGCACTCAGATTTCTGCTGTAGACCGCCTTTTCTGTGTTGTATGTATGATGTATGGAGGGGTGGTCTTGAGCTCCAGGGCAGGGAATTTAAAATGTCTATATAAGGGCGGGCACACCTTTGTTTGGGGTTCCTCCTCCCTCCTGCGTGTGGGGAGTGAGGACCCTGTTGCAACAGATCAATAAAGATCAGGCTTACAAGCTGCTTTGCTTCTCAATATTCTCTGGTTGGCCTCTGTTATTTTCTCCAACCGATGGAGAACCCACAAAGGACTCTAAAAGGGCTCTTGTGTCCCCCATAAGGGAATGAGGGCAGATTTTCATTTATTACAATAATAATAACTTTTATTATTTATACTTTGCCCACCTGGCTGGGTCTAAGCTACGAGAAGCATTGGCACATTTAAAGTACAGCAGTCCCTTGGTTCTCAAACGCCTTGGTACTCAAACAACTTGGAATCCAAACACTGCGAACCAAAAGTAAGTGTTGCCTGCTGGGCTAAATTGAGGGGGAGTGATGGGAACTCGCCCCCCACAACACACACTCTTCGCTTGCGTACCTGGGAAAAGCTGCCGGGTGGGGGCGCTGATCTGCGCCTGCCTTGATATCCGGTAGGCCACGTCGGGCCCCGATCCTGAGCGCCTCTTGGGGCAGAAGCCCGTGGTCTTGCGGACGCCCTCGGGCTGGTTCTGCAGCTGCAACACTTTCAAGACGTCCACCGGTTCGGCTGCAGGAGGGAAGAGACGGGAAATGTGGGGGTTACAAAACTGGCCGGCCTGCCGCCCCCACCTCACCCCAGGCAGACCCTTCTAGCTGCTATAAAGTTGCCAACTTTTCCCCCTGGCCCTGCTCCTCTGCTTTCAGGAGAGCCTGCTGGCCCGGTCCAAATATCCCACTCCCGTTCATCTTCCTGCTTTTGGCCAAACTGGCACAGGAGCAGAGCCAGTCGGGAAAGGTGGCAACCCTGCGCGGCTCAGCCAAGCGGGGAGGGTCGGGGGAAAGGTGAAGCGAATCTGATTTAACATCCAAGGACAAAGTTTTCACAGGCTCCGGTCGTGCCTGACGCGCTCTAACCACTGAACCACGCTACCTCACAAACCCACACGGTCCAGTCCTCGACCCTCCCAGGATCGCTGCCCCCTCAGCGTGCCACAGAGGGGGTCCCCCATGGAGCAACACCCTCCCCCCTCTAAATGTGGGGCCCTCCAAGAGGCTGCATGGAAACAGAAAGGGGGCTGGCATCTCAGGTGTGCCCAAAGCAATCGGCATTCCGATCTCCTCTCTCCGGGCCGTGAAAAAGGGGTCTTTGTTTGGCGCTGGGAGGTGGATCCCGGCCAGGCGGACGCCGGGCACACGCCTGTGCACCCCGCCAGCGAGGAAAGAGGGAGGAGGAGGGAGGAGGAAACGCAGCGGACAGGCAGGCAGCTGCACGCGCCGCGCAAGAGGCCGCAGGGTGTGCGCCCAATCCCTTGTAATCTCAGATAAGGCATCCAACCTCTGCTTAAAAACCTCCAAGGAGAGTCACGCCTGCCCTCCCCAGAGCTGCCAGGTAGAGGCACTGCCATCCCAGAATTTGGGGGCAGAGGTCCCCACGCAGCCCCTGCAGAACTGCTGCCTGCTCGAAATCCACATGCATGAAGGCGGAGCGGGGCCTTCAATGCAAGACCCGTTCCGTATTTGTGAGAACCGGGTCTTTATTTCAGTGTGGCAGCACCAACGCACTTTGGAACTCCCTGCCACTTGACAGCCGGCAGGCAGGCGCCTCTGCTGAGCTCTTTTCGGCACCCGCTTAAAAGATTATTTTGCTTAGACCAGACTGACTCGGTGATTTAGAGAGCGGATGTGAATACACCACCGTGGAATATCTTTCACAAATCAGTATAGCTTAGTCAGTAGAGCACAGCTCTCTCAATTTCAGGGTGGTGGGTTCGAGTCCTACTTGGGGTGCAAGATTCCTCCACTGCAGGGGGTTGGACTAAATGACCAACTCAATTATTCTTTTCAAGCTTTCTGCGATTATTAGGATTATTATTATCTTGCCATTTTATCCTTTTATCCGTAGGTGAGCTTACAGAACCAGCCACTGGTCACAAACCTCCTTCTCCGTTGTGGCCACTTAGTTTTAGGGAAGGGGCCACGAAGAATGTGGGATGTAAACACAGGAGCAGTCAATGACAACATTCCTAGAGTGTACATGTTAGAACATGGTGGGGATGTCTGTCCAGCAAGCAGGTAAACTTCCTGGGGACGGACTTCCTCCACATGTGACTAGAGGTGGGTGTGGCCTCACCTGTGCAGGTGATGACAAAAAGCACAGGGCAGGCAGCCATCTCTCTCTCTCTGCCATTTTCCTTCGACGAGGAAACACCTAAGGATGCCCTCTTGGCTCCCAGCCAAGAGAGGAGATAAGGCCTATCTTGCTATGAGATAGATTCTAAATCTATGTAACCTTTTTAAGCTGTGCCTTCTGGGATCACATTGTGAACAGGACGTGAGTAAACTCTTTTATACTTTTATGAAGACTGTGTCGTGTCTTGTATTTTAAGAGGGAACTAAAGGGGAAATTACCAGGGTAATTATTATAGAGGTTCTAGCGAACCTGTGCACACGTTACCGTTGCGTACTTAAAGGGGAATGTATATAAACTCTGCTGATATTTTGGGAACTTGTTAGCACAAGTTGGATCAGGATATAATTAGTCAATATATCCTCTCCTGCACCCCAGAACATTCCCACAAAGAACATGTTTTAAAATTGCCACCCCAGCTCTGCCCATCTCGATACCTGAGGATTTCTGTAGGGAGGGAGGAGGAGGCCTCTTGGATATTTGGGACCTGAGTTGGTAACAGTATAAGCCTTTGGCCACCATCTGAGCCATGCCTACTTTAGAAGACATCTGAAGGCAGCCCTGTTTAGGGAAGCTTTTAATGTTTCATGCATTACGGTATTTTAATATTTTGTTGGAAGCTGCCCAGAGTGGCTGGGGAAGCCCAGCCAGATGGGCGGGGTATAAATAATAAATTATTATTGTTGTTGTTATTATTAGTGTGTCCTTTGGTTTTGTTATATATATATTTACATATCATTCCCAACAATCATATAACATAATTTCATACAACGTTTTGGACTTCCATCAACCACATCTGAAGATTTTCCAGACTTTTATCACTTAATCTACATTCCTTAAATTCCTTATTACTGTACTTTCAATTATCCCTAACTAACAATTCTCTTCATAATCTTCTCTGCAATATTCCGCATAGTCCTCCTTACAAAACGTCTTGCAATCCTACTAGCCTAATCTGTTTATTACAATTGCTTTTCAAATAGTTCAAATACTTCAAACTACAAGAAAGAAGATTCCACCTAAACATTAGGAAGAACTTCCTGACAGTAAGAGCTGTTGGACAGTGGAATCTGCTGCCAAGGAGTGTGGTGGAGTCTCCTCCTTTGGAGGTCTTTAAGCAGAGGCTTGACAACCATATGCCAGGAGTGCTCTGATGGTGTTTCCTGCTTGGCAGGGGGTTGGACTCGATGGCCCTTGTGGTCTCTTCCAACTCTAGGATTCTATGATTCTATGAAATATTTATTCCAGTCCTCTGAGAATCTCTGGTCCCGCAGGTGTCCTTTGGAGTGCAATGGGGCTTGCTCCCAGGTAAGTGGGGTTGGTCTTGTAAGGCCAGTAAGAAGCTGTTTTCCACGTGAGGGCCGCCGTCCTTTCGAGGCAACCTTTCAAGGGCCGGTGGTGGTGGTGGGCGGAGCCAGAGGCAAAAGTGGGCGGAGCAACAGCTGTACATGTGGACCTTTGTACAGTAAGTTTTCTGCATTCTCTCTCTGTCTTTCACCCAGTCAAGGAAGACATTCAGTGCACAACATAAGAACGCAAGAAATTTCTGCCGGATTAAGCCAGTGGCCCATCTGGTTCTCACAGCGGCCGACCACATGCCCCCCCCCAACGAGAAACCCACAAAAACGAGTCTTCCAATCATTCTCATTGTACTGTTTATACTGTTGTCGTTTCCCCAGCACAGTTTTATATTCTTTAATATTTTTATCAGAAGTCTTTTTTATTTACCTGTTTATCTAAGTATTAATCTAAGATTAAGGTTTTTTTTAATGCATGTAAATCTGCTTTTTCTTCTTTTTTCTGTATTCTTTTCTTTTTCCTTTATTCTTTTTTCTTTAATTTTCTTTTTGTAGTATGAGATTATAAATTCTTTGTATATGTGTGTAATTTAAATGAATAAAGATTATTTATATATATATATAAAAAAGAGAAACCCACGAGCAGGATTTGAACCCAAGGACCCTCTCCCCTGCTGCGGTTTCTGGGATCCAGAAGCATTGCTACCCTGGACTGTGGAGCCAGAGCACAGCCCCCTTGGTTAGCAGCCATCCATAGTCTTCTCTAGTGGCAGCAGGTTCCATAGGCTAACACTGTGCTGCGTGAACAAGGCCTTCCAGCTTCACAGGGTGTGGGTGAGTTTCAGCATCACGAGAGCCAGGCAAGGTTTCATGAGCTCCGGACGTGCTTTGAAGGTACTCGGCCTGAGGACGAATCCGCCGGCTGCCAAAAGCTCCTTCGCTGGCATGGCCTGTATTTATTTACTGGGAGGCAGCCTCTGCATTGCTGGCTGCTCTCTGGAAACAAAAAGCTTCCTTTTTCTCAATGGAGAAGCCAAAGCAGAACCCAGGGAGCAGGAAGAATCTCCAAATATTGCAGCAGTCTAACCGTGAAGGTGGAAGGCAGGTCACCCATATCCCTCTCTTTATCTCTGGCGAGTAAGATTGTCTTCCATAAACACGGCCTTAACAAGGAGTGACTGTGGAGGCCAGTTCTGGATCCCCACGTCCTTCCACAGTGGGGACATTGGTTTCCAGGCGGGAGTTGATCCCTTGAGGGTTTGCCAAGCGTGCCTTCCTCTTAGCACGTTTCTCCCTTGCGTCCCGAGTTCAAGTGTCTTCAAAGCCCATAACACCTTGGGTCAAGGCTGTTCTCCAATTGGAGTGCTCACAGGCCAGCGCTTCCCAGTTGTCGGTGTTTATACTATATTTTTAAAGATTTGCCTTGAGAGAGTCTTTAAACCTCTTTTGTTGACCACCAGCATCACGCTTTCCATTTTTAAGTCTGGAATAGAGTACAGTGGTACCTCGGGTTAAGAACTTAATTCGTTCCGGAGGTCCGTTCTTAACCCGAAACTGTTCTTAACCTGAAGCACCACTTTAGCTAATGGGGCCTCACGCTGCCGCCACACGATTTCTGTTCTCATCCTGAAGCAAAGTTCTTAACTCAAGGTAC